TGCATATTCACAAGCACTATACATGTATTATCCTCCAACCACTGACAAAACAACAATATCCAAAGTCAGTCATGTATGGAGTAATACTTGAGGATAATACCAAGGAACTTTTAGGGTATTAGTGGTTTTATGGAATGGCTGCCTACCATGGTTAGTTTAAGTTATCTCACACCTGCCAGCTGGTGAATGAACAAAATCTTGTTCTGTTCCTCTCTAGGACACACTGCGTGGGTGTAATCCGCATGCCGGTGTCTGTGCTAGCTACATGTCCTATGTTGGCACCTTCTACTTGATCAGCTTTGTGATCATTGCCCAATTCGTGCTAATTAACCTGGTGGTGGGGCTGATCTTGCAGGCTCTGGAGGAAAGCAAGGGTAAGGATAGCACTCAAACATACAGCCATTCACTGATAAAAACAACTGTCAGATGACCACAGAACAAGTGATATTGAACATTCTTATGCATGAAATCCCCTGGAATATGTGTTTCCTGTTACAGCTGTTAAGTGTAGTCATCGAGTGATGCAGACACTGCTTCTAAAAAGAGATCTTACTTGATTTTTTTTTTAATTGTAACTCATTAACCCAACCTTTGGAAAATCAGTCCCATTGACAAAACGTAATAGTAATATAATAATACTGAAACGGATTTCTGATATCAATATTGAAATACCACTGTAACAGAAGAATATTTTCATAATTCAAAACAAACCTACAAACAATTATCTCTCCCCTAGAACAAGCAGCAGCCGCAGCTGTGGAGAGCCGGACACAGGCAGCTCCGGCCACGTCACTGGAATGACTTCCAGTGACTTCAGCTTGTACATAGTTTATTTTCCTTTGTTATTAATTCTAAATGTATTTTCTTGCTTTTTACTTGTTTATAGTACATCCCGTCAATTTCACTTCAATCCTGTAAATATGTAAACTATTTTGATTTAATAAATTTGAAAAACATGATGTACACACAAAAAAAAAAATACCACTTTGACTTCTTTGCTTATTACTTAGTTGCTTTACTGTAAGTAGGTGATTAAAAACTGAGTGTAATGCCGTATAATACTACAGGATCCATATGGTAGGGGTTGAGTACCATAGGTATGATAAAGGTCAGATGTCTTAAGGCGGCATTTCGAACAGAATCACCCTTCGGCCATCTTGATTCGGGGAAGCACTCTGGCGGAACCTGTGGTACGGGAAGGAAGGTGAGTGATCTGCACAAACATAAATACTCTTATCTGCTGAAATCTTGACGGATTTACAAACGGGTGGCTTTCTTCCAAACGTTATTAACGTGGCTACAATTCAAATGTAAAAAAATACTAATAAAATACGAAATAATTAAAATACTAATTGTTGCTGGCCGTGAGAGTGTAACATAATGATCCATAAGTGTAGTGTTATAACTACACCTGTGATGTTTATAACAAACCAAACTGTTTGAAAATCGTTAGAAAATTGAGCAAGTTATGGTTATTTAAGAAGTACATGCACCACTACAACACAATGTTATGGGTGAGGGAGTGTACCGATTCAAGATGGCCGCCAGTGTAGCCGTGCAATTCCACTGGCCAACAGCGTGGACGAGACATCTAGCCTTTATTATAAGGACCAAAGTCTCTCAGTAATGTTTCCAGCACTTTGTTGAATCTATGCCATGAAGAAATAAGGTATTTCCGAAAGCCAAAGTGGATCCAACCCGGTATTAGCAGGTGTACCTAATAAAGAGGCTGGTAAGGTTAGGTGAGGTTGATCAGGTCGTCTGGTATTAATATTGATCTGAAGTAATCCTGTTCTAAAGAGGTAAGGTGATCTGGCTGAGATAAAACTGAGCTAGGTTTGTGATGATCAGAAAACTGAAGTTCAGCCCATAGATAAGCTGGCCAACTAGTATTGTCTGGTATCGCAATAACCTGCTGTTAAAAATGATGCTATTCACCATTTTATTAGTATTGGTGGTTGGAGAATAGCGGTGTTCTAATACAAGGCACGTTCGCTGTGAGCTGCCTCCATGTGAGGTCAGTGTGTGTGTGCAGCACTCTGCTTCCACTCCCTGCAGGCGTAGTAGGTTTGTCAACTCTGTTGCTCTCCCATAAGCACACTCCAGCTTTCATGGTGACTAGAGGAAAGGAATGTGTTGTCTACAGGGTACAATCACAAAGCAAAAATATTATTTCAATTATCACCGACAGTAATGGCAA